CTAAATTTTGCAAGATCCCTTCTGATCTTCTGCCTTGTTCGCTCAGTTTCTGAAAGTAGGTCATCGGCATCAACCTCTTCCTCCATATTCATACTTACAGAGGAGGACCTCTGCAGTAAACCAGCTTTTGTCAGGGCCGATAGTCAGCTGAAGTATCAAGCGATCTGCTTTTCTATCAAGCAGTCTGTCCTATACCGCATTTCTGGCTGGTCTCGTCTCTTAAACTCTTTATTTGGGAACCCATATCAGAGGCGGTCGACTTCATACTAGTTTCCTCCCATGTCCAGCACACGTCTAGGAGATACTTATTTGCCTTCTGAGAAGGTATCTGCTTTTTGTGTTTTCCAAAGGGCCTATCCAAAGTCCACCTGTCTAGTAAGGGATTGTTCCTTAGAATTTTTGCCTGAGTTCCGTCCTTGAACGTAGCCACACCCTACAGATTGGTAGGCTTCCGTCAATTTTCTCTTGATCTCATCAAAAGCGGATTCTCTTATCAGCTTCAATTTGTGTCTGCCTACGTTAAGGTGCTTTTGGAAGGCAGTAAATATGACTGTAACGTTTTAATACACCGTTTTCTTGTTCTATCTGAGACAGATTGGGTACAGTTTTCGCGATGGCCCGGGTTCAGAGATCTGTGCAAGTTACTGATAACCACCCGCCTCTACGATTAGTTTGCCAAAGATTTCTAGTGTGATGAGCCTAGTGAAGCCCTGAGGTGCTCCAAACTTTGCCAGCTAGTCTGCGTTATAAACTTATCGCAGTTCCAAAGTCAGAGGGAGGATCGCCGCCTCCAAATGCAAACTGTCTACGTGAGCGCCTCTACAGTATCTGCGTATCCCTAGCAATCGTATGATATAAAGTTCATCGCGGTCACCACTCACCAGTTAGGAAAATTGATGTTCAGATAAGCGCCCTTCTCGCCTTTCTTCCTTATTCATTAACTCTAAGATAACAGTCACGGTATGCGTTCTATTTGGTTGACAGTCACCTTGCCACCTGGAAGACTCGCCACCAGCTTTGATTTCTTCTGCCATCGTAAGATTTACCTCTCCCTCAACTTTACGTCTCCGATTTTTATGAGTAGGATACTAGCACTTACGAACCCGATAGTCTGAATCTCATACCGACCTATGCACGATATTTGAGGCATATCGTGAAATCGTGGCCTTCGTAATCTTCAAATAAGCCATATGATATGCATAAACTAAAAAAATAAACATAAAACATAAACACTTTATAAATAATAATATGCATAAACTAATTTAAAATACCGTTCAGAATTTTTTTAAAACCTCTCGTCGACAATTATCGTCGGCCAGAGTTAAGAATTGCCAAGGTTAGTGGCCTCGCCCTCAAATGAATTATTTTTCCAAATGTAACAATAAATGTAGGGAGCGTGAGGAAATGCACATTTTCACTGCTGTGATTGAAAAGCAATGATATATCGTAATTAACACGTTCGGTATCAAACCTTTGATTATGACAGGGTGAGCCGAATTTTTCTGTGAGGTCGACGTGACTTTACATTAAAGGCAATATTTTTGACAGAACAAAATGGTATTTCTGATGAATGAGTCTGCGAATAAGGCAGAAATAAATATTTTGTCGGCACGAGATACGACAAGACCTGGGCCTTAGGCCCGAGCATCATGGGTAATGATGCAGTGGTATATAAGGGGAAGTATAGCACGTGGTGTCTATCTAGGCCTCAGAACCAACCGTTCACCTCTGGCTGATGTCAAATTTATTTTAGTTTGAAAACGTATTTTCTTTAACTGTAAAGCCTCGTAGGATGGGCTGCCAACTGCTCTGAGTTTGGATCATGGTTCCTACCCAGATTTCCTGTAATGTTTTTACCCCAAAGGGGTTTTTCTGGCAGGTTTTTTCTGGCCTCTGTATAACCGTAGTTATGTCCTTGTAAGCGGTTGCCCATCTCTGTTAATCCAGACTTAGTGAAGTTTGCATTTTAGTAATGTATACCTATTTTTTAATGTGTAAGGAATTGACTGTATATCAGGATTGTATATGGTATATCAGTTGCGAATATATGTATGTATGCATGCCTTGGGCTATATATGCCTCGGGTTGGTTCTCGGCAGGCTTCCCTGAATAAACTTATTTGGTGTATACTATTGTCTTATTTGTTGTGTAGTTGAGACAAAATTTAGTGAGCGTCACTGCACGAACTGAGAAAGTAAAAACTTGTATTTATCTCTCATGCGTTTCGTCTGACAATAGCAGACTTCATCCAGGAGTTTTACAAGTAGGGTAAATAAGCTTGCTTAAGTAAATGACTTGTCTCTTTTTGATTGAAGCAAGCGGAAAGAATTCGCCGGGTGCGCCTAAGGGGGTTGTACATGCGTGACATTTTTCGGAAGTTACATGTACGAGGACGGTTGACCTCTCAACACATTACATACCCATCCATGTAACGTGTCCCTCTGTTTTCTCAATTTATGTTTTCGCAAACACACTTTTTGGGAGTCACGAAACGTAAAACTTATCGGGACCCAGTTATATGTTCTAATTGCAATAAATTATAAATAACAGGGGTTCTTTGAAACAATTAGTAGTGGTAATTATTATGTATGCAGTCTCTCAGAGTAATCGGTTAAAAACCATCGCAGTGAAAGCTTCATACATCTTACCCATTTTGAAGCGATTTCCTCAGTGAAAACCAAGAAACACTGGAGGCGTGGGATGGTCCATCCTCCCCCAGAAAGAGCTAAAACAGAAACCAGTTTGTCTGTTTGAGTTTTGGGGTTGACCCTTTAAACTGGCAAAGTTTCATTGAAATCGGTAAGATAGCATGTAACACGACTGTCTGGTGCTTTCGTGGACACACTCTTAAATTTTGGACTCCGCATAATTCATTTCGAGTTTTTTTTTTTCATTTCTGATTTTTTCACTCACCTCAGGTAATCAGCTTATATATGGAACCACCTTATAGGGAAAATATTCACCCAACTGTTGCTAAGCACTGTTGCTAAGTTCCTTTTTACTTTTGGCTGGAAGCAAACGCCTCTGTGCATTGGAAGTAAAGTAAAATGCCCAAGAAATTGCAGTTGACATTAACGTTTCATGGTCTAGAAAATTGCAACGCTACCTCAACAGAAATAAAAGCCAGTCACCTACAAAATTTCGGAATGACTTCTAAATTTTGCGCAGGAATTTCTTATTAAAAGCTCTTAAAAATAACTGTGAGAACTGCTGCGGCCTAATTGGTCGAGAGCAAAAAGAATCAAAAATTTATTCAGCAAACTAATTACTACTGAGTAGGTTGGGGTAGGAATGAGAATTCCTCATGCACTGATACTCATAGTCCAGGTGATAACTTTCGGAATAATTAGCGTGATGTTAACGCCCTTAGAAATACTTAAGGGAGGAAGTGAGAAGGACACCTCAATCAAATTTTTTTTCGTGCATGTAATCACTTATTTATGCCTCAAGTTTTTATGCTAAAATTAACTTAATTTACGTCAAATAAAGGGTTGCAAAACTCGTTTGGCTCCCATAATTCGGCATGATCGTTTGATGCCATAACTGTTGATACTAGGATCACTATTCGATACTGACATGGAATTAATATTTGACACAAGAATACTAATCACCAGAACTTCATCGCCGTAATTTTTTTGACTATAAGGCGAGTATCAAGTAACATAGGTTGAGGAAAACCGATCAAAGAAATGCACTGAAAAGCATTGAGAAACAAAACAACCTTCTTACGATCATGGCGTTTGTTGATGTTTTCTGCGCAAGAAAGCGTCAGTGGACCGCATGCTGACACTCCTACCAGTTACACCCTTTATCCCACCACCTTGACGCCTTAACTATGAACAACAGCGCTATCTGTTTTACTCTGTAACTTAGTTAAAACAAACGCTCACGATATTTTCTAAGATTTCTCTCAAGCTGTCTTTTATTTAGCATTTTTGGAATTACAACATAATCCCCTAAGAAAGTTTACCAAAAAAGGAGTGTATAAAAGTGTGGTAAAAACAAGAATATTTTGATTCCCAAACTAACATTTTGACAATAACCTGACTTGAAAACGATCAAATCACCATACAAACATTACAACATCTCAAACATTATAACACGTAAGAGAGTTTTCGAACCAGTTGCAAAATATTACTGCCGTAACTTTTCCACTTTCCACTTCCGTGTATTTTTCAGTCTTTTCTACACTGAGAAGTAGTACTGGAAATGATCAAAACGAAAGGTTTCTGTTAAGATGTTACATTTAGATGTTACAAAATTTAGGATTCTGTTAACGAAACCTATGACAAACTTAAGGCTTTCAGAGAAAATCCTGTAAGACTTAACTGGCTCATTTTTGATGCTTAAACTACTGTTAAAACTTTCCTGATTTCACTTCACTTAAGAGCCCCAAGTCAATATTGTTTCTTGCTAATTATATCGGCTGGATAAGATAATTTTTGCGCAGAATAAAATCTTTCTCGAATACGTAACTAATACCTCCTTCTGAGAAGATCGGAAAAAAAACCGTAAAAAAGTTATAATTAATATGCTTAATTGAAGATTACCCATTTTTTAATTAAACAATGAAATAACGGATAGAGTATGTTCTCTACTTATTCTATTTGTTTATCCATCCAAAAGTCTCTACGGTCTGTTTCCTTCGAGATATTCTCATCCTCTTTCCTATAACAAACGTAAAAAAAGAAAAGCAATTATAAATAACATAATCAACAATTCTTAAATAAAGCAAATACAGTTATACCAGGCGCAATATGTAGGCAAATGTACACTTGTATCTGACTGGCAGAGAGGCGCTTTCGAGATTCTATATTGTACTTCTAACCGTGAGAATCAATTGTTACTCTTTGAAAGAAACAACAACAAAAAAGATATAAAACTAGCCTTGGTATTCAAGGTAACAAAGGATCCCCGCCGACAGTCAGCGACCAGTGAGTCATAGCCACCTTCACATCTAATTTAACTTTAATTTATAAAATACCTGTTCTCAACGAGTCTCACCTCTGATTGTGAAACTCGAGCTTCACATCATCTCCAATCAGTGTAAACGAAGCCCACTCAGACACTTTGGTAAAGCGGTTTTTTCTCATCCACTTCATGGCCTGATGAAGGGATTCACTGGCACTTTCTCCTTCAACAAGGTGTTTGTAGAACCGATTCATCAGCTGCTCCGTTGCTAAGTCTGAAATGGCCCACAGCGCAACTAACACCGAGCGAGCACCAGATCCTAAGAACGCACGGGCAATTCCTATAACTCCTTCGGCTCTTATCTGTCCTCTTCCACTGTGACAGCAACTAAGTACCACCAGTTTAGCTCTGACTTTCACTCGTGAGACATCAGCCATCGTCAACATGTAAGCATCCTGTGGTGGGATAGCATTTTGACTGTTGGGAATAGGAATGGGGGAGAGGGCAATTTCTCCCCTTTCGGCCTTACCATGGGCAGCAAAATGTATCAAGCCCACTGAACTTATCCGCTCAAGTACCGCCTGCTTTGTTGCTTCCTCTTCTAGCAGAGGCGGAACACCCACCAGTCGTCCGACCATCTCCGCTTCCTTTCTTGCACATGGCAATGACGGCAGCCAATGAACCTTGGGATTGCCTATTATCAAGGCACCAGTGTTGCTGTGATAATCCTCTGGACTATCTTGAATGATCTTGAGTGTCGTCAAAGAAGGAATGACACGGATCTTATGAGTCTCTGACAGGTATTCGGCTCCCTCCTTTTCACTCAGGGCTGCAAAGGGAACTTTGTACAAACTGCGGTCAGGAACAATAATGACTTCAGGCTCCTCAAGCAAATCATAAACAGGGGCAATAAACATTTTGTAACACAAAGATAGACTTGAAATGACCTCCTTGTCCTCGTCCTCGTCCTCGTCCTCGTCCTCCTCCACGAGTCGCATTCTTGCTGAGCTCTTTTGTTCGGGTGAGAGAGGTTGCAATTCAACCATATTTAAAGACCGATCTTCACAATCTTCAGTGGGCAAAATACCAAGACTCCGGAAACTATCAGCCAAAAACTCACTCAGAGGCAAATCTTCGGGCAACCCAGCGTGAACTAGATTATCTTCTGGTGATACTCTTCTATAGAGAAGGACTCCACTTGTTTTCAAGATCCACAAATGCAGATCATTGTGAAAATAAGAAATGTACAGACAAGTAGAGTTATTTTTCTTTCTTAAAATGTTTTCACTACAAAACCAAGATTGCAGATTAGCAGGGACGTGCGTTTCAACCGAGTACTTCTCTGCCATCAAGTCTGATAGGCCTCTAGCTCGACCCAACTCCTCAACATAAAGAGCATCACGAGTTTTTCCGGTGTTACAAAGCAGAGTACAAAGAAGCTTGTAGGGAAATATTCCTGAGTCCTCCAGAAATGATGTTTTGAAATGATCATTGGCGCCCAAGAAATATCTCAGCTCCTCATACTTTTCAATGCACAGATGAAGACACGACAAGGAGTCTTTGATTTTATTTTGACATAAATACAAAATAGCGTACTCTTGTAAGGTTTGGAACTCTTTTCTTCTATCTCCAATATCTCTGGATATGGATAAAGCTTTCTCTAAGCATACTTCCGAAGCTTCATAATCTCCAAACTTTCTATACATAATTCCAAGGTTTCCAAGATCTGCTGCTTCCCCTTCCTTATCACCAATTTCAGTTCTGATAACGAGCGCTTTTTCAAGATACTCTTTGGCCTTGCCGTATTGCTTGATCGACTGAAACCAATGACCTAGGTTTCCATAACATGATGCCTCTCCTTTTCTGTCACCAATTTCAATTCTTATGGCAAGCGCTTTTTGGAGATACTCTTTAGCCTTGTCGTATTGGCCGAGCGACCAAAACACAGTACCTAGGTTTCCGTAGTCAGCTGCTTCTCCTTCTCTGTCGCCGATCTCATTTCTAATGCCAAGCGCTAATTGGAAATACTCTTCAGCTTTTTCGTACTGCCCGAGAGACTCAAACAAGATACCTTGGTATCCGTAGTTAACTGCCTCTCCTCTTCTGTCGCCAATTTCAGTGCTGATGACAAGCGATTTTTGGAAATACTCTTTAGCCTTGTCGTATTGCCCGCGGGAAAGAAACACAGTACCTAGGTTTCCGTAGGTAGATGCCTCTCCATTTCTGTAGCCAATTTCAGTTGAGATGACCAGCGCTTTTTGGAGATTCTCTTCAGCCTTGTCGTATTGCCCGAGACACGTAAACCCATGACCTAAGTTTCCATAACATGTTGCTTCTCCTCTTCTGTTGCCAATTTCAGTGCTGATGACAAGCCCTTTTTGGAGATACTCTTTAGCCTTGTCGTATTGCCCAAGCGACCAAAACACAGTAGCTAGGTTTCCGTAGTCAGCTGCCTCTCCTCTTCTGTCGCCAATTTCAGTGCTGATGACAAGCGCTTTTCGGAGATATTCTTCAGCCTTGCCGTACTGCCCGATCGACTTAAACACAGTACCTAGGTTTCCGTAGGTAGATGCCTCTCCTTTTTTGTCGCCAATTTTAGTTGCAATGACAAGCCCTTTCTGGAGATACTCTACAGCCTTGTCGTACTGCCCGAGACACTCAAAGACATCACCTAGGTCTGTATAACACGATGCTTCTCCTCTTCTGTCGCCAATTTCAGTGCTGATGACAAGCGCTTTTTGGAGATACTCTTTAGCCTTGTCGTATTGCCCGAGCGACTCAAACACATTACCTAGGCTTCCGTAGTCAGCTGCCTCTCCTTCTCTATCGCCAATTTCAGTGCTAATGACAAGCGCTGTTTGGAGATACTCTATAGCCTTCTCGTACTGCCCGAGCGACAGAAACACAGTACCAAGGTTTCTGTTGTCAGCTGCCTCACCTCTTCTGTCATTAATCTCAATTCTGATGAGAAGCGCTTTTTGGAGATACTCTTTAGCCTTGTCGTATTGCCCGAGAGAGCTAAGCACATAGCCTAGGTTTCCATAACACGATGCTTCTCCTCCTCTGTCGCCAATTTCAGTGTTGATGACGAGCGCTTTTTGGACATACTCTTTAGCTTTGTCGTATTGCCCGAAATACTCAAAGACACATCCTAGGTTTCCATAACACGATGCTTCTCCTCTTCTGTCACCAATTTCAGTGCTAAAGACAAGCGCTCTTTGGAGATACTCTTTAGCCTTGTCGTATTGCCCGACAGACATAAACACACAACCTAAGTTTATATAACATGATATTTCTCCTCTTCTGTCGCCAGTTTCAGTTCTGATGACAAGCGCTTTTTGGAGATACTCTTCAGCCTTGTTGTATTGTCCAAGAGACACGCACACATAACCTAGGTTCCCATAACATGATGCTTCTTTTTTTCTGTCGCTAATTTCAGTTGAGATGAGAAGCGCTTTATGGAGATATTCTTTAGCCTTGTTGCATTCCCCGAGCGACTGATGCAACGCTGCTAAGCTTTGGTAGCAGGATGCTTCTCCTCTTCTGTCGCCATTTTCGGTTCTTATGGCAAGGGCCCTCTCAACATACTCCTTCGCCTTTAGGTTTTCGCCAAGTTTATAAAACATAGCTCCTAATCTAGCGCAGGCGCTTGCTTCTCTAAGTTTTTCACCAGTTTGTCTCTTTCTATCAATTGCTTTTTCATAAAGTTGTTTGGCATCTGTAAACCTGTTTTGACTCTCAACAATCTCTGCTAGAGCCATGCTTACATCTCCTTCTATTGCTAAGTCACCAGACTCGCTGTATAAGACAAGCAGTTTCCTGCCGTATCTTTCCGCACTTTTGTAGTCAGAGATACGACGATAAGCTCTGAAAAGAACTAAATAGATAGCTTTGTAAATTTGATGGCGGAGGGAATTAAATTGGTCTTTGCTGTTTTTATCGGTGTTATTCAGCAAAACCAAACATTCGTTCCACATCTCAATGGCTTTCTGAATGCGATCTGATTTACGCAGGAACAGGGCAACTAGCAAGGCGATGACCATGTCTTCTGCTGTTAGGTTTTTCATTGCTATCCTCTCCTGTTATAAGGGAGACATTATTTTCAGTAACACGAATTAACCAAATAATTGGATAGTCTGGATTTATAATGTGTCACTACAAACAGGAACCTATACGTGAAGTTACAAAAACGGACTGGGTCGATTACATCTGCCGAAACTTTTTGGAACGAGATGAAAGCGTTAGAATTCATAATATTTACTTAACCCAAAAAAATAAGTGAGGAAGAGGTGTGGATAAGTACAACTGGAGCACACCAACGGATCACATTCGGTGAAACTTGTAAAATTAATTCGACCCGCACAGTTTTTTGAAAACGGACTGTGTGACTATCACGCCGTAAAAGTCAACTGTTATCGAAGTGATTTTTGATCTAGCTGTTTCGTTTGTTCGTCTTATCAAGTATAAAAATAGATCCGCAATGTGTACATGTGTGGCTTACGAAATCGAGCTGCTTTTTAGTATCTGGTGTCTCATTGGGTTTCTATTAGAAGAGCTGATATCTGATTACCATTACTAATGAGATAGTTTTCAATATTGATCCTGTTCATCAATAACACAAGATAACTAGCATACAAAAGTCCTGAAATGTTTATTCTGAAGATGAGAGTTATTTGCTAAACTTTGTTAAGGAGGTCTCATTTTGACAACTAAGGTTGCACATGTAACCTGAGGATTTTAGGAACTGAAAAAACATCAGCGTAATCTCCCATAGTGACCTGATAGATTCAGTTATGATTAAATTTACGTAACGAAGTGGAATTGAATTCTGAAGTTTGTAAGTTGATTGTCTTTTCCAAAGCAAGTGATGTGAAATGAACTCTAAGGAAGCATTCCATCTGAATATTTTTACAATTTTTCACACACGCGAAAACCGATCAAATTCAAATTTTGAACAAGTGAAAACTATCGTACAGATTACAAGATACGCGAATTACTCTTCCTACCCATTTTTTTCTTCACATTCTATTAATCGAAATTTTCAGTTATTCTTAAGGCTTTCTTGCTGATCGTCTTAAAAGTAACAGTTTCCAGGATGCAAGGGGAGCAAAAGAGAGAACAATTTTCTGTGTAGTTAGGTAAGGCAACGTGTCGGCTTTATACTTCTTCCGGCGTGATAACGATATGAGGACAACAATAGAATGGTTTAGCAAGAGGACGGGAACATCATTTGAGAACGGCGCGCGCAGCAAAAATGTCGATAAGAAACTGGGTCGAGAACGCCGTCGCGTTGTGTTGAAAAGTGATTTAGCAGTCGTTGCAACGAGAATCCTCACCTCGGCTTTTTAAAGATCACCATCACCTTTGAATTTTCGGTTTTATGTACCACTCTAAGGACAACGAAATTATCTTCTTTGAGAGTTATGTAACAAGCGCCAACAGAGGATAGTTATAGATACGGCAAGTAAGTTGTTCATAGGAATCTACATGGGCGATTAAACTTAGAAACTATTCCATTGCAGTTTAGTCTCGAGTTTGTGGATTCATCTATCAGATTTTGAAGCCCACTAAATAGTTTTTTTCCTATGATTCATGTCGCTGTCATTTCGTTTCGTGCTACTAGATTTCAGCACCACTCGTTTTTTTCTACATAATTTTGTAAAGGATAATTTGGAAATCGTCGTCGTTTCTCCCCTTGAATATTCTTCGCAGTCATGACAGTACATCTCTTTTGAGCACGCCTTCTTAGAGTTGAAATGCATTTTGAACGGAATTATCAGGAGTTATGGCGAAACCATGTAGAAACCAAGCGACCCAACGATGGAGTTGTTTACTATGAGTCCCTATTTATCCGTGAAAGAATGAAATTGACTCAAACTAGTCACCAACGAAACGGTTTGACTTAGGAATATGACTTCGTTGTTTTTTTTTTTTTTTCGTCCTTTTCTATTTAATTTTTTTTTAACGAATGAAGTCGTTCAAGACTGAATCAAATTAATAGATTTAGAAAGCTGTGCTGAGATCAAGTTGATTGTCATTTTATTTCGAAGCGATAGCATGACTTTCTTGTCTTGGTTTTCACAAGCGCTGATCAAAAATTTCAAACATAAAAAAAGTGAATACCTGAGCTATTCTCAATTTTTTTTCATCTCTGACTTCAATTCGCAGAAAAGTTTTCAATCATGGTAAAAACGACAATAACAACAAATAACACCGAATAATACAGTAGGTAAACGCCGTGATATTTCATTTTGATATCCTTCAACATGAAGCAAGTTTAATTTATTGATGAATTGATTTATGATAAAATTGACAGCGTCCCATTCTTAGAGTTTCATACAGGATTAAAGAATTGTATCAAAGCACAGGCCTTTCACTGTTTTAAGCCTTGCTCAATTACATGTGTACTAAGCCCTAAAACCTTGGATTCGAAGTTTGCCAACGATTGTGTTTCCTTTCGGGAATTCAGCATAAATGAAGCGGTAAATTTTCTCAAAATACATGGAATAACCAAAGGAAGGGACCAGGTTATCCTGGAAATGAGTTCTGCAATAATTCCTGAAATAATTCCAAACAGCATTATCTCGTTTATAGGCGCAAAATTTACGCAAATCCCAGGCGTTTTGATCGCGACGGTAAAACCAGCGAAAAGGCGTCCTGAACTTGTTGGGGAGAACGGCAACTTAAACTCCGGAAGTCGAAATAGAGTCGTGTCCAGACTATCCACGCGCTTTCCCGTTTTGAAGTGACATTCCCGTCCTCTTGCTAAATCACTCTAATGGTTAAAAAGCACCGTCCGCTAATAATGACGATTATCATAGTTATAAACAAATTTCAGTTATAGCCCTGAAAAAAAATCTCAGGGGGTCCTTTGAACCATCCACTTCATCTCGCCAGAAGTCAAAGTTGCCTACACTCATTCTAAGGTTCGTGCGATTTACGACGAATTTTCAATCCCGGTGTGTTGCGCGCGACTTTTGTTGAAAAAAACCTGCACGCGCCATAACTGAAAAGAACGTGTCAGCTCAATAAATAAAATCTCTATCAAAAGTTGCGCGCGCAACACCCAGTAAAGTAACACCTTTATTCCCTGCGGCACACCTGACGGGATATCAGCCCATTCGGAGAGATAGTCTCTAGTTAGCTTTACTCGCTGTTGTCTTTTCATGAGAAAGTCGATCACCCAGCGCTTGACAAAGAGAGGCATGGAAAAGAGAGAGACCTTCTTAGCTAGGATGTGATGGTCTATGAGGTCGAAAGCCTTGCGATAGTCAAATAGGGCAACTCTGACTCTGACTGCGCTTCCTGGTCCTTCGGTTGCCTCAGCCCAAGAACGTACCATCGAGAAGAGCGTATGGGTTGCGGATGAACGAGGAGTACCGCCAAACTGAGATGGATCGATTATCTTCAAAACAGCAGGGGCGATGGGCTTTTCAACTAAGAAGTCCTCAGCTAGTTTAGATAAAGCAGGGGCGAGCGAAATTGGTCTTAAATGCTTGCTGATGTTGGAAACTGGTTTTCTCCTTGGGAACTGGTGTTATGTTGGCTTGTTTCCATTCTCGGAGTAGCTTCTGTTCTTTCTACGAGACGTTGAGTAGGTGCGTGATAGGATGTGCGTATTCTTTCAGGATCCTATTGTCAATGCCATGAGGGCCTAGTGCTTTGGACGGGTTGAGGTTTTTTCGCTTCTTTAACACAGAGCAGGTCAGTGTCAGCCAAGTTGGTGTTAAGATTTGGGTACTCATGGATTTCATCAAGAAGGGTAGAAATGTTTGATGTATCCAGTGGATTGTAGGCTCTCATTGGTGCGATCAGACTGTTGTTAATTAAATCTGCAAAGTCTTTAGATGACAGATCTTGGGTGTTGTCAATATGAAGTTGATTGAGGGGTTCGTTGGGAGCAGATGTCATACCACTTAAAGCTTTTACTTCAGACCCTCAAGTCATTTGGTTCGTCTGTTTAAGCTTGATAAATTTGGAGGCAAAATACTTCCCTCGGCAGGATTTCTTCGTTCTGTTGACCTTGTTCCGATAGAATTTGAACATAACATTGTTCCCAGAGGAAAAAGCACGTTGGCGCAAGGTTATTAAGTGCTTCAGTTCTTCCGATATCCACGGGGGATCATTCCGGTGAATCTTCACTCGTTTCTCTGGCATGAAAATGTTGTAGCCAGTCATGATTACAGAGCACATAGAAACTTGCATTTCTCGTCGCACGACGTTTCCGATTCAATCAGGTGCCAATCGATTTCGGATAGGTACCGACCAAGTTTCATTTTACGCGATGGGCAGGTGTCTCTTTTAATGACTATTTTCATGCTTGGAGTACTAGAAGATGCTCTAGTTTTCGGCCAAACTGCAACAGCATTATGGTCGTATAGGCCAAAGGGTGGTAAAAGTACGACTGGTTTTGAATCATAGAAATTATGCATGTTGGTGAGCGCTAGATCCAGAATGTTAGCACCGCGGTTTGGTTGGTGGACAAGTTGTTTTAGGCGGAAATCTCGACAAAGATGTTTTGTGTCCAATTGGTTAAAGTCGCCGGCGATAATAATACCGCAACCAAGAAATAGACCTTCAGCACGCGTGATGGCATCGGACAAGTACTCCAAGATTTCAGTATCGTTAGAACTAGGTGGGTGGTAAACACATGCGGTAATGACGCAGTTAATCCCTACTGGTAATCTTGGGGGTCTGACGTAGGGCAATAGGACTTCGAAGGCGGGATCTTCAAGCTCTTGTAGTCTCCTGCTCTTGATAGATTCTTTTATATACAGCTATTTCAATTTACGTTGTCGGATCAAAGCCTCAAGCCTACAAGACAAGACCGAAGGGGAATATGGGATCTTAATAAATAATTATCAGCAAAATTAACAGTGCCTCGTCCATACAGCGAAGATCTCCGATGGCGAGCCATTTGGATGAAAGAAATGTTGGGGTTTCAAGTGGATGAGGTTGCAGCTGCTTTATGGATGTCACCAAGAACTATTAATTCTAATCTAACCATACCGCCTTTCGGTCTTGTCCCGTACCCTTGAAGCTTTGATCCGACAACGTAAATTGAAATAGCTGTACATGCAAACTCCTCCATGTGTACCTTGGGGAGCGATCACGCCGAAGAAGATTGCAGTTGTTTAGTGTCAAGTGATTCTCTCCAACGGATTCTCGTAACCAGGTCTCTGTAAAGAATATGTAATCAAAGTTCTTTTGGGATATTAGGATACTAATTTTGTCGATCTTTGGGACCAAAGACACGACGTTTGTTAATAGAACAGTACACTTGGAGCAAACTCGGTCTTGTGAGAAGATGGCGTTGTTAAGGTGTTACTTTGTATAGTTCGTATTGAACGAATTGAATTGTTTGTATTTATATCGTTGATATGCAAATTACGTATTTCGCGACTGTCGTCGGTTAAATGATTTTGGAAATTGTTTGTATAAATTCCATCCAGCTCAGAATTGCTATTGAGTAAGGCAGGTGATTATTGTTTTCTTTTACCGCTACAGCAGCCACGGCGAGTGGGTGATGTTCTTGCTATTTGTAGCTGTACAAGCGTCGTCCACGAAGAAGGCTTTAATCGCTGAGGCGTAAGATTCGAGAAAATAGCGTTTAAAGCAGTTCGAGAGTACACGAGGGCCATCGATAAACTAGTTCATGACAAAATCCACGATAGGTGAATAACGTTAAATCAGAAGAAGCAGTAAATAACGAAAATAAAACCCGAAAGTTAGAGAGCGTTTTAAGTATGCTGCCGACTAGGCGCTCCCATGAGCCTTGATGCGCTCCCTTACCCTTGAGTCAGAATTTGCGGCAGAAGGTTCGCGGGCCAAACCGGCTGATTTTGACTCTGCAAGGAGGTTGCATCACGAACTGACAGAAGCTTGTCTGAAACCCCTTGGAGCAAAAGGTTTTGCTTTTCCTGAGGTTAGTTTGTTATTCAAGATAATGATTGAACAGTTGTGAGTAACAAGTGAGATAATTAACATTTTCACGAGGGTTTTTTTTTTAGTTAAAAAGCAAAAATACAAAATTTGTAGAAGGTGCTATATATAGAGATAGGGGAATGAATTATCACTTTATCACTTCCTCACAAACATCGACGAAAGGCGAGGCAGCCATTTTGAAATTTAGCTCTCACGCTACAATCACCTCGCACCATATGTAAGTGATTATAGCAGGTGACTGTAATGTATTTCAGCTTTCAAACTTTCAACCCTGTAATGTATTTAGTTATGATCAGCTTTCAAACTTTCAACCTTGTATTAATATAACTATTTGAAAAATACGGCAGCCTGACTTAAGTCTGACCCACCAAGATTATTTTTGTCAGACTGAGTGTTTGAAGAAGAATTGTTTTTCCCTGCAATGTGCCTCCAACCAGATAATTTTTAAACTTCTTAATTATTAAAATTTTACATTTTTTTAACTTTCAATTGGTACATATAAATTTTGGCATCCCCTTTTATTATGATCTGGTGAAATGATCCTAAAAGTTATGGATATGTACAGACCCAGTTCAATATAATTGTACCAATTTTTTATCACATTTCTCACTTAAATTTCATTTAATTTTGCAATTTGCTTCTAAGTGCAATTATTTCACAATAATACCCTCATTATTATTATTGTAATTATCATACCATATTTATTTCTTGATCTGATTTACATATTACACCCCTGAATCACAGATTAAGGTCGCTTGAATAAAGAAGCGATCACCAACTAGAGAAGCTCTTGATTGTTGACCAAATTCTCCTCGTCAGCATTTTAATGAGGGTCAAAAGGGTTTTTATGTCTGAGGAAACTGGATTCAAATGAAGAGCATGTCCACGAGAGCACCGGGCAGTCGTGCTACATGCCATCTCACCGATTTCAATGAAACTTTGCCAGTTTAAAGGGTCTACCCCAAAAAGACAAACTGGTTTCTGTTTTGGTTTTTACCGGGGGGAGATAGACCACCCCCCCGGTTTTTCTTGGTTTTCACTAAAGAAATCGCTTCGAAATAGGTAAAATGTATCACTGCGATGGTATTTAACCAATTACTCTGAGGGTTTGCACAAATATTTTTACATCCTTAGTTTATGTCCGCCGCAAGTATCAGTCAATTTGATTGACGGCTTGTCAATCAACAGAGGCAAATATACGACAGTGTTTTTAAACTTTTCGATTCATCCAAATATTTGACAACTTTGAGGTCAAATATCTCCCGTTGCCAGAAAGCTACAACACTAATCTTAATTACCCTTTATAACCCACTATTTCGTCCCTGAAAATCATCAAAAAAGCTTTGGGCGCCACCGTATTTTTGTCTTGGTGCCTTTTAAAATCTGTCATTGTGACAGGTTTCTCTCAACTATACCTCTCACGCAATTCTTGCTCTTGGCAGTCACATGACCAAGTAAACCTACATTTTTTAGCTCTTCATACAAGATGATTGATCAAGAAAGATGAAAAATGTGAAAAACTTTCGAGATTTTTGTTAGGAATGGAAAAATTTACCTTTAGAGAGATGCATGTAGGTGAAAAATCGAAGAGAAAATCGTAGCGTTTCCTTCTACAGTCGTTTATTACTTTGGAGATTTGCTAAAATCAGCAGCTATGGCTTTTGTACGGCACAGAACATTCATTAGTCTATAATTTGATTGTTTATTATCATCATTGCTCATTTTAGGAGATTTTAAAGTCACACGCTGCGTTTTGGTTGACACTATTACAAGTTCCAGTGCGCGACAACTCCGACTTTTACAGACGAGAAATTCTGCTCTCTCGCTTGAAAGCAAATATCAATAGTTCTATCAGACTGAAAACTGTGCTTCTATCCCGAAAATAAAATTAAAATAGCGTTGTCGCCGTCACTTACCGCCATCGAACTTTTCCATGCAGAACTCCGCTGAGCTAACATTGCGTGACCCGAAGACTCTCCGTAGGAATTTTTCAAGGGCGTTGTTTATGCTGTCTGCCAGATAGCAATTTCAGAATAATCTGCGGATCTATATGATTATTTGCCAGCCTCGATCGTAAATATATGCATATTTTTTTCAAGCATTCTATTACTACATATAAATCTACATCTCTGTAGATCGAGTGTTGCCGGCGTTTAATTGGGTGACTTGTAAAATTTATTAAGAATGAGCCAGCAGTAATTTGACCAGTAGGCTTCCTGCAAATTTCCCTTGATGAAATCCCAAGACATAGTCAGTTGTTTTCGTGAACAAAGACAACATATATAAAAGAAAAGTGAGATGCAAATGTCTTTATTATCTTTTTTTTTTAGCTTAATAGCAGCTGTACCCTCTCCTGCAGTCTTCGTCTAAATTTTGCAAGGTCACTCCTTATTTTCTGCCTTGTTCGGTCAGTTTCGACTTCTGAAGCTAGATCATTGGCATCGGCCTCTTCGTCCTCGTTCATTTTTACAGAGGGGGACCTCGTCAACAAAACCAATTTTTGTTACGGCAGATAACCGGCTGAAGTATCGTGCGATTTGCTGCTCTATCAACCGGTCAGTCTTAGACAAGCCAATACGCGCTTGAATTAGCTTCTCGGATGAAACGCATGTTTGGGATACATCGACGTCTCTCAAATTTTTTTTTTAAGCTGTATACCCACGAATTTAGAGGTATGAGCTGTTGCCGTCCCTGGCCAGCGCGAGAAAAATAACATTTGGTTCTACAGTTAGTTGCAAATGAACAAGACAACTGCACCATCTTGACTCTATCATTTCGATTGTTAGGTTGAATTGAGAGCTTTTTAGATACACGACTTCTTATATGGCATCACTATGAAGACATAATACAACTGTACACCTATACTACATAGGATTAACAATGTCTGTTGCGCTGTTGCGAGAAGGAGGAAAATATTACCGGAAGTGTAAACTCTTTAAGAGTTTCAGAGACGTTTCAGAGATGTC